GCAGCGGGAACCCCAGGCTAGCGGGTGTGCTCCAGGGAAGGGGTCGGCCGGACGGGAGGCACCCTAAGGGAGGCACTCGGAGCCTGGAAGGTGGTCGGCGCAGGGAGGTGGGCGGCTTCACGCAGGAGCGCCCCCTACTGGCCCGCCACAATATTCACCACCCTGGCTGTGCAGCCCTTTCCCCTGCCTTTGCCCCACTCCCTCGCTCACCATGGGGGCCTCCATCTGCACTCCCCAATGCCCCTGCCCCCCAACAGACTTACTGGCAGGGTGCTACTCTCCAAGCTGCCTGGCTGCATTTCTGACAGGATGAATGCTGCGGCTGTAAGCATGCACATCGCATTTATCAGTGACATTATCAGCTACACAGGCAAAAAAAAAAAAAAAAGCTTGTGGCCGATAAAAGGAAAGCTAACATTATCAGTGCCGATAATGCAACCGATATATCTATACACCTCTACCCAGCCCTCGTTCCCCAGGTTGGATCCCCCAGGCTGATGTGGAAAGAGAAACCCTGTGTTCCTTATAGGGGTGGGAATGGCTGTTGTCTATCCTGCCTCAGCTCACAGCTCCCCAGCTCGTGCTTTCTCCTGTCACATGGAGCTCCCTGAGCTTTGCCCCAAGCATCTTGGTGTCACCAACAGGTGAGGTGTGTTAACCCATTCTGCCTTCCTGAGAAGGGTCAGCCAGGGGCTGTTGCTGCCCTGTCACATGCTGCTAGGGCCCATGTTGCCAGCTCTGACATGCTCCAGCCCCATGTGTGGGGAAGGCTGCTGCTGCTGTCTTCCAGGGCACTGGTGAGCAACTTGGTGTCAGGCACCAGGAAAGCCAGGTGAGGGGCCCAAGTCCTCCCCTCCCACATGCCAGCTGCAGGGTCTAGCTGGAGCCCCCTATCCTGTCCTGCCCTTCCCCAGCCCACACAGAAAGGAGCCTGCCTGGCCCTGTGTTCCCAGAAAAGGGGAGCTCATCTCTGCCCACTGCAGACTTCCTTCCCCTATCCCACCCCCCCACTCTCCCTGCAGCCCCTTTGCCGTGGGCAGGCAGGTGCTTTCTCCTTTGTCCTACCTGATCCCAGTGTCCCTGCCATCTCCCACCCCTTAGTGCTGTTTGCAAACATCCTCTAACCCACCTCCCTGGGGTCACTGTCTCCAAGCCCTTGTGTCCTGCCCTCTGGTGCTCAACTGTCTGCTGAGAACACTGACCACTACACCTGCGAGGAGCTGAGCAGGCAGAGACTGTTGGCAAAATGGGGAAAGGGCACAAAGGAAAGGTGGTATCACAACAGGCAGGGAGGTGAGAGGGATGTGGGGGTGGTTGGGCTTGGGACTGCAGGAGGGGAAGCTGGTTGTAGGGTCAGAGGGGCTCCAGATGGGGCTGGAGGCAGTGAAGGGGCTGCTGTTCCCTAGAGGAGCTGGTGTGGATCCCAGGGCTGAGAGCAGGGCAGGGAAGTGCTTGGAGGAACAGGAAGGGACCAGCTGATGGGAGCAGGTGTTGGAGGGTGCAGAGAAAGGAACAAGAGGAGAATGGGGGAGGGAGGTGGGAGGAAGCCAAAGGGGGAGTTGAGAATCCCAGGAGAGAAGGACTGGACCCCTGGACATGTGAGGGCCGTGGTGGGGCAGTGACCATGGAGACACAGACGTCTGTGCTGTAGGAGCTGTGGGGTGCATGAACCAGGCCCCGTCACCTCCAACTTTATGGAAATGGGAGACTCTTCTCTAGTTTGCTTCTGCAGTCATACAGCTGAGCGCAAGCAAAACTCAGGCCTCTGGGCTTGGCCCTGCATGTATACTGCCCACCAAAGATTCATAGATCTTCAGGTCAGAAGGGACCTCAGTAAACCATAGAGTCTGACCCCCTGCCCTAAGCAGGAAATAGCGCTGAGGTTAGATAACCCCAGCCAGGTTGGAGCTCCCAGGCTGAATTTGGAAATATCTGAAGCCCCAGGTTGAGGTGGAGGATACCTGCTGGTAGCAGGGCTGTGGCAGGCCAGAAGGGGGTGCTCCTGTGCTGAGCCACCCACCTCACTGTGCCCGACCACCTTCCAGGCTCTGAGTGCCTCCCTGGGGGCCTTATGTCTGGCTAACCCCCTTCCTGGGGCACACCTGAAAGTATGTGGGTAACACTGCCACTGCTCTCAAGTCTCGGTCTGTTAGTGGCTCTGTGCCTCATGAGGTACATGGGCTTTATAGACCTGAAGCATACTTGACCCCCTGCAAGAACTTGGGGTGCTTCCCTTAGTCTGAAGCACAAATTGAGATCTCTCTTAGTCAGCTGAACCAAGGGGACCACGAGGCATAATCTAGACCCTCTCTCAGTAAGTCTCCCACGCCACGTACAGAGGAAAACTTTTATTTATTACAGGGAGTAGGTTTGGAATAGGGTACAGGGTAGAGCAATATCAGAGAAATACCGTAGAGCAAAAAATGGCATGGTAGCCTTTGATCACGTATCTGAGTTACTGCAAACGATATATCTAGTTAGATCTCAGGTAGCTTACTCACAAGTGTCATCTAGATCCAGATGGAGATTCCCTCTGAAGGCAAGCAGTTCATTGACCATGAGTTTCAAGACAGAGAGCGAGTTTCAGATGGTCCAGCTTCTCTGAGAGTCCTCATCATGGTTGCTGCCCCTCCTCCTGGGAAGTCTTTAACTTACATATACCTTATGACCTCATTTACCTGATCCAAGGAAGGCCAGCAGTTGTTGACTGTCAGCCAACCAATTTGAAATGCATCACTGGTTGCCAGGTAGACTGGCAGAGTCTGCAGCCCCCTCCCAGTCATGATGGCATTGCTTAGAACAATAGGGAGCTTAAGCCCCCACCCAGGTGTGTGAGGCCAGTCACGTAGGCAGAGGGAACAGGGTTCCCCCTCCCTCAGAAATGTATACAGCTCAGGTTACAACTCAGGTTTACCTGATGAGATGAGGCCTGGGGTGTCTGCCCTCTCTAGTGACCATGGTAACCAAATTGTCAGATAGTTCATAAGCCTGATAGGAGAGTTTGGGGAGAGACTGAGATGGCATTCTGCCATAAGGGCAACCTATGGTTCTGGAATTATTCAAATGGATTTGGACCTGATTTGGCTAACTTGACTTGGGGCCCGAACATTTTTCCTTAAAAATAAAAAATAAAAAAATGTTAAAATCCACAGCTCGGGCTCTGCTCCCTCAGTCCCTGCTGCCCCACGGTGTGTCTTCTGTGAGAAGATGCACCACACTGCTTTCCAACTTGGACTCATCCCGGATGGTTTCCCTCTGCCCCTTCCTCTGCCAACCTTGCCCTTTCCTTCCAGGGACCCGTTCCCACCCCTCCTCCCCCGCCCTGGGCTCCTGCATTCCCAGGATGCACGTGGGCCACAAGTTGTCCCCTCAGCCTTGTTCTCTGTGAATGGAACCCCCAAGCTGTCCCAGTACTACCTTCTGCCCCTACCCAGCCTGGCAGCCGTTTGTGCAGGGGTGGGCAACTATTTCAGCTGGAGGGCCGCTTAACCATCCAGAGGTTTGGTGAGCTTTGAGGGCTGCATGGGTAGCCCCACCCTTTAACAGTTGTTCTGCCCCCTGGTTGCCATCTTGGGAACAGAAGTCCTGCTCCTAACCCCTGACCTTTGCCACCCGAAGTCCCTCCCCTTGCTCCTCAGAAATACTCCAGTTGGGGTTGCCATCTTAGAACCAGAAAAAACCAAATCATATACTAAAAAACACCTAGTGTAACATGTTAATTTTATTGCAAAAAATCTTTTTGTCGTGATTTGTGTTTGTGTACTGTATATTGAGGTGATTGCATAATAATGCAAAAACTTCTGGCGGAGTCCCGGGACCTGCGTGGCAAGAAGTGCACTGCAGGCAGCTGGCTCTAGCGCATGGAGCCAGAGCTGATGACGCGCAAGTGTGGGGAGTGCATGTATGTGACGGGGATCTCTGGTGATACAGGTGGGCAGGCCAGGCTGAGCTCCTCACCGCGACGTGCAGCACTGGCCAGAGCTGTGTGCTGCTGGGTGACAGTGCCTGCCTCAGGCACAAGTGCCCTGAGCACCTCCACTTCTGCTGCTGCTGACAATGCCACTGCCTGCAGGGATTGTGCACCATGGGGGAAGTAGTGGGGGTGGGGAATCTCCTCACCCTGCCACCCAGTCTCCATGCTGCTGCTCCCCTGGGCACAGACACTGAGCGCGCTGCTGCCAGCCCCACCCTGATGCTCCTCGATCCCGCCTAGCTACAGCTCCCCCCTCCGTGACCCCAGGCCTTGCTGCTTCCCTGCCTGCTTCCCAGAGCAAGCAAGATGCCAGGGAAGCAGAGCAAGTTCCCAGCAGCTGCAGCAGGGTGGGAATGAGGCATGCTAGGGTATGTTTGGGGTATGTGTACGTGGGCACCTTTCTCCCAGCCTTGTAGGCAGAAGGGCTGTGTGGGGAACAATTAGTTGATGGGCACCATGGGACAAATGAAAGTGCCTGATGAGCTGGGTCGGTCCCACAGGCTGTATTTTGTCTGCCGCTGCCTTTGTGGCACCTCCCCTCTGAGGCTGTGACCCTGACCCAGGGCCTGGATCTGTGTTTCAGGGTCTCACACTCTCCAGCTCATGTACAGCTGTGAGCTTGGTGAAGATGGCAGCCCTGGAGCCTATGTGAAGTTGGGCTATGATGGGAGAGACTTCCTCAGCTATGATCCTAAAAAGCGCACCTGGGCAGCAGCCCCAGCAGAGACCCAGGTCACCCAGCGCAGGTTAAATGAGTATAAGGCCTTTCTTCAGAGTGCAGCAACCTACATGGAGGAGACCTGCATCGAGTGGCTGCAGAAGTACCTGCAGCACGGGAAGGCAGCGCTGCAGAGTAGTGAGTCCTGGTGTCACCCCTGCCAGGGCAGCACTGACCGGGGCATCCCCTCCCACTGGGGAATGCCCACCCCATCCCCCTAGTCTGAGACATCAAACACTGTGTCTCAGTTCTGCTACTGGGCAAGACCCCAGCACTGCTGTGGGACGCAGTGTGTCCTGTGCTTGCTGTGGTCCGGCCCCCCAGCTGGGGAGAGCCCACAGGATGCATGTACCCAAGCTGTGTCTCTGAGAACAGAGATCAGCTGTATTTGACCCTGTTCCTACAGCCCCAAGCCCAGTGCAGCTGTCTCCTGTCCCCTGTGCTCCCACCCTGGTGCCATCTGCTCCTCCTTGAAATGACCTTTAGAGACAGCTTTGTATGGCCCAGTGCAGGGGCCCAGCCCAGCCTTCTGGCAGGGATCTCGGGCCCAAAGGTCCAGGTGGGCTGGTCAATCTAATGGGTATCTCCTCCCTCCCAGAGCACCCTGTGGCACAGGTGAATGACAGGCCGTCATCCCGGGATGGACTCACCACCCTGTCCTGCTGGGTCCACGGCTTCTACCCCAAGGACGTGGCTGTCGTCTGGCTGAAGAACGGGGAGGCGCAGCCCCAGGAGACGAGCCGCTCAAGGGTCCTTCCCAGTGGAGATGGGACCTACCAGATCTGGGCCACCATCGAGATCAACCCCAGCAGGAACCACGATTACACCTGCAGTGTGGAGCACGTGAGCCTGGGTGCAGCCCTGAGAGTGGCCTTGGACAAGAGCAGGGTGGGTGAGTGACCCCCACATGTGGCCTTTCTGGCATGGGGTAGTACCCACGGAGGTAATATATAGTTACTCTCCCATGTTCATTGCTCCTTGGAACATCTTGGCTTTACGCCCACTTCGTGGAAATGGGAGACTCCTCCCTAGCTCGCTCCTGCAGCCTTATGGCTAAGGGCGAGTGACACCCAGGGCTATCTGAACCCCAAGTCTCTGGGCTTGGGCCTGTACATAGGATGCCTGCCAAAGGATTTGGAAACATCTGAAGCCTCAGGTGGGTGTGAAGGATATTTGCCGGGAGCAGGCCCACTTATAGTTCTCAGCTGACTCGCACATTTGGAATGGATTTGGCTTGGAACGCAAAAAAAAAATACATAAAAAAGAGGAGACCCCAGACAGTAGTGGAGGGAGTGGCTGACTGACCCTGTTAAGGGAGGAAGGACTGGGGTGAGGGGGGGCAGAGGAGACACAGAGCACAGATGTGGTGTCATGTGTGCCTTGCAGTGGTGGGGGCATGTCTGGGGTCCCCTTGCTCACAAGCCCCTTTCTACTTTCAGAGCCTGAGTTCAACCTGATGCTGATCACAGGCCTGGTTGTCACTGTGGTGCTTGTTGTTGCCGTGTCAGGCTCAGCTGTTTCCTTCCTCAGTAAGTGCTGGGTGAAGCCCTTGGGGCCAGGGCATGCTCAGGCCTTGGGACAGCGTGTGGAGCAGGAAGGGCTCATCACCACCATGGTTGGGAGCTGACTGGGGACGGTGGATTCTCCAGCTGCTCTGGGCTCCCAGGTCCACGTGCCCCAGGGGCGGCAGCAACCAGAGCCCAGCACCAGTGCTGTGAGGCTGCCTTGCTGAGGGTCCAGGAGGGCTGCTCCCAAGCTCCATGTGAACCTTGCCCCACAGGCCCATCCCGTTCCCCCAGTGCAGGTGTCCTAGCTCCGCATCCACATCTGAGCCCACCATTTCCTGTTGGGCAGGCAACTCCTTTCTGGGCTGTGGCCCCAGGTTAGAGCCGTCCCTAGTTGTGGAAGCAGCTGATGACATTGCTAACTTCTGCCTTCTTTCTGCAGGGAGGCAGGGAGTGGGGTACAGAGCAGCACCTGGTGAGTGTGAAGCCCTCTCCTCTCTCTCCTTGTCACCGGTGCTGTGTGGCTCTGTGCAGAGCAGCCTCATGGGCAGAGGGCTTCACCCAGCCCTACACTGCCTCCCTGCACCCTGAGGTGCAGGGCAGGAGCTGGAGATGCTCACACAACCCCCTTCTTCCTCCCCCCTGCAGGGAGCACTACCACTCCAACACCTACCTGAATAGTAAGTGCTGGGGGCTCTGGCCTGAGGGACCCTCCAAAAGAGATGCTGCCCCTCTGCAAGCCAGTTTTGAGAGCAATGGGTCATGCCAGGCTGGGCAGTTGCAGGGGCTTAGTGGTGGGAGAGCTGCTTGACTGGGTGTGCACCAGCCTTCTTGCTCCTAAGGGAGAGGGGCAGAGTGGGGGTGTCCATCATTATCCCTGGCAGCCTGGGCTCTGGGGCCTATGGGTCCTGGGAAAGGGCTGCAGTATGAGCACTGCTGGGAGCAGAGCTAGTGCAGGTCAGGACACCTGTCTGTGGGAGGTGTGTTGTGGGGGGGCATCTCTTCCCCCTCTGTGCAGGGAGTGATCCCAGATGGAGCCTAGTGCTGGGTCAGTGCCTGCTTGGTGCTGCAGTCCCTCTGGCTCCTTCATCTCCCATGTCTTGTTCCCACAGCTAAATGGATCCTGGTGAAGTCTGCGCCACCTCCTGAGGGGCTCATGGAGGAGGAGAGAGAACAGCACAGAGCAACGCACTTCAGCCTATTTGCACCTTCATTTTAGCCATGATTCTGCCAGAGCAAAGCCCCTTGCCCTCGGACAGCAGATAGCTCATGTGTGACATGGAAACTCTGCTTGGCTGCAGCCTGGCAGGGGTGGGAGCAGGGGTGTTCTGGGCATTGCTTATTGTGGTTTAGCAACGTTCCTTGTTTGAAACAAAAGAAAAAACAAGTTAGAGGTGAGATGCCCTGGAGAAAGGAGTCTTAGAGCAGGGAAATGAGCAGGGGCTTGCATGAATCGGTGCCCTGAAGCCCCCTTCCCTCTGTCTCCAAGTTAACTACAACATAAACTTCACAGTGTCTTTTTGCAGGGACTAAGTTGCTGTTCAGCTTGTGTAGTTCCTGTCTGCTGCTCCGGTTTGCCCAGTGCACAGTGCCTGCTCTCTGCATCCTGGGAACAACTGCAGGACAAGGCTGTGTCCACAGGGTGACTCGCACCAGTAGCACCATCAGGACATGGATCAAACTGGGATAAGAGGAATTTCTTATCTAACCTGGTGCCCAGGTGGCTGAACACCCCGCTGCTGTCCTGGATGCCAGACTGCACCGGGGCATCAGCTGCTTGGTGCTGGGTGTGCAGAGGAGGCCTAGGCTGGGCAGGGGCAGCCCCAGATGCTCTGGTCCTTTTCCCTGGCCTTAGGTCCAATGGACACAATCTTGTTTTCCTCCTTTCCCTTTTCCTTTTGTTTGGGGTGAGAAGGGGGGAGGAAGAGTTTAAGACTGTAAGAGCTTCTTTAGAGAATAAATGTGCACATCTGGCAGCTTGGGACTATTTCAATGCATGTGCTCTCTCCCCATCCTGTTCGGAGGCTTCTCTGGGATGGGGCTGTGGCTGTGGAGGGGCACATCAGGCCACAGGAGCAGTGGGGAGGCTCAGGCTGGACATCATGGGAGGTGCTGGGGAGCTGTAGCTGTCACCAGGCAGCATACCTATCCCACCATGTCCCACCCTGACAAGGCTAGTTCTGAGCCTCCTCCTGACTGCAACCAAGCCATGTCCTGCGACCAGACTGGGAACTTTCCCCAGGGTCCCTTATTACCAGGGCGGCACCTGTCTGCTGGCAACAGGATCTGTGTGAGGGCAGGGCCCCTCCTGCTGCTGCAGTCCTGGACACCTAGGTTCTAGTGGTGAAAGGGGGAGCAGGGTCTGTGGGTTTGGACTAGGGGAGCTGGGAGCCAGGACTCCTGGCTTCTCTCCCAGCTCTGAGCATGGTTTGAGGTCTGGTGGGTTAGAGCTGGGCCAGCAGGGAAGCAGGACACTGGTGTCCTCCCCCAGCTCTAGGAAGGGAGGGGGTTTGATTGGTCAGAGCAGCATGGGGACTGGAAGCCAAGGCAACAGGAAATAAAAATAGTTCTCAGAAGTGATGCGAGCTGGAGAGCGCCTTGTGCAGACAAAGGAATGGAGCGGCTCTGTTGCCAGCCCCTGTATGGAGCTGGGGGAGGGGAGCCTGGGTTCCAGCCTGGCTCTGAGGAATCTGGTGTCTGGGGGCACAAAGGCAGAGGAGGGGACGTGGGTGGGAGGCCGGACACCTGGGTTCTGTTCACACATTTGCCATGACCTGTCCTTTCCCTCTCTGCCCCTGTGTCTCTCCATGCTCCATCACCCAGGGCACCAATGCTGGGCAGCACCAGGCACTACTGCCTCACCCCACAGCAGGTCTGTGGAGGTGCTACAGCTCTTGCACTGCCAGGAGCATAGGTGGTGGAAGGTGGGGGGCGCTAACTGGGCTCAGCCCCCCCAAACGCAGGCAGCCCGTAAGGCCCTAGGGCAGCCCAGCTGCAGGCTGCTGCAGGGGGGGAGGGGCGCATGCACGCACATACCCTGCACAGCCGGGATCACAGCTGGCTGAGCAGGCAGGTTAGTTTCTTTCTGTTTTATTTACCTGGGCTTCAGGGAGGCAGATCGAGACCCCCACAGTTCAGGAGGCAGTGTGATAGGAGCAGGGGCAAATCATTCACCCCTGCCCTGCTCCCTCCTGCACTGTGGGGATTGCCCCATGACCTGGCTTGGGTGGGGCCAGATTCACAGGGCCAAGTCGTGGGGCAGTGGGAGCCCGGCGGCTGTTCCAGGGGCACGGGTGGGGGGCTCCCGCCACTCTGCATACCACAGGGGAGCCAGGGGAGGGGGAGCACATTTCTCCCCCTTGATTCCCCCATGACATACCCCTGGATGACCCGCCAGGCTCTAATTGTCCTACAACCCGGGCCAGCCAGGGCTCCATTCACGGTTAATGGGGCCCCAGCCATGCTGGGTCATGGGTCAATCAGAGCCCAGCAGCACCTCCACAGGTGGGCTACAGCTGTGAGTTGTGCTCTGCCTGCTCCATGCCTCGCTGCTGCCTTTGAAAGTGGCACAGCGCCATGTGAGTCCCACCGCTGGGCAGGGCAGCAAGACACATGGCGTGTGAAAGAGACTCCAGGAGGAGTTGTGGGAGTGAGTCTGAAGTGGAAGAGTGACCCATGAGGGCCTGCCCCCAGTGTCATTGTGGAACACGATAGCCTGGATTGACTTTGGCTTAATCTATCCCACATGGGCTTCTTCTGGAAGAAGAGTGTTCATCTGCTCAGGGAGCAGCTCTGGAAGGGACAGGCCCTTGGGTGTAATTTTAGTCTTTTTGTATTATATTATTGCTAGTTGTATTTAATTTTTTTCCTCCCCGAGTTTTTGACATAACAGGAGAAATCTCTATTAGAAATCTGGAACATGATTAGGGCCTGAGTCTGCACTCAGTCATTTGACACATTATCACTTATTTTGTGTGATGACTGATCAATTTTTTTCCCCCTTCTTTAAGATTTTCTTTACATCTCTTCTTAGCTCACACAGCTTGCAGTGAACTTTAAACACGTAAATAACACACACCACAAGAAGTGACTGGTTCTGAGCTCTCCTCCATTTCCCGGTCCACAGGTCTCTGTGTGGCTGTTAGGGCAGCAACCAGAAGGCTGGGGTTGGCTGTGGGCCTTTGGCCAGGGGGAGGATCATGGCAGATCTGGGGCTGTAACAAAGGCCTCTTGCCTTTGGACCAACTGAGGATGCAAAACAACCTCCTGCCCAGGGTTCTTGCTGTTGCTGTCCAGAAATTGAACCCCTCCTGGGTCCATGAGTTTGGGGCATGAGGCTTTCGCAGAGCAACTCCACCCTGTTGTCTTGGCTGTGGGTCCTAGGGCCCAGCCCTGTTCCCTGGTTGCCCAGCACAGAGCAGGGCTGCGCTGGTTTTCCAGTCACTTTCAGGACAACAAAGGTCTGTGCTGGGGGGGACCGTCCCTCTGGCGCAAGCAGCCAGGCTTGAGAGGGGGGAAGTGGGCTAGAAGCAGTGGGGCTGGGCCGATGGAGAGGGCCTGGAGTGTAAAGGCAGTGCTGCCGGGGCACAGAGCAGGGCTGGACTGATCAGCCCAGACCAGAGGAAGGATAAGAATGAATGAGAACTAGACGGCCGTATCAGCCTTGCATGCACAGCCAGCCAGAGGGACGAGGGGCTGGGAGAGGGCTGTGGGGCCTAGCACACAGCCTGGACCTGTTGAGGGTTAGAGAGGATGCGGGCACCTCAGGGGGATGATGGACAGGGGCTGGGACCCCCAAGGAGGCTGGGTCTAGAAGGCTGGTATGACATCCCCTTGGGGGAATTTGGGGGGCTCCATGCTCTGGGGACTTGTGCTGTGATTATGCCCTGCAATGGAGAATGGCTGGGGTCTTTCAGCAGAGGTCAGTGGGGCCAGAGCCCCAAAAGGCATTGGGATCCCTGAATGAATGCAGGAAAGGTCTCAGCTGGAGGTCTGTGACCAGGACAGGGGTGGAAGAAGGTGTGCCTTCTAGCCCCTCACCTGCCCCCTGCCCTGGGCAAGGGGCTTGGGGAAGGGTCTGTCCCTGAAGGCTGCAGCAGAGCTACCAGACCCCTCCCAGCCTGGCCTCCTCCGTGGGCAGAACATGTCCCCAGTATGACCGATTCCCCTCAGCTCCCCACCCCCCAGGTTATGACAGGACAGACCAGGAGCTATGGCCTGGTCTCCAGAGCCAGGGGGAGCCAGGCTGTCGCCACTGGCTGTATGCTATCTGGCCCTCTCCACCCCCTCACCTGCACCCTGGCCCGGTCTGCTGCAAGGGGGATGATTGGCAGCTGTCCATGGTGCTGGGCGCAGGGAGGATTGTGGAGGTCAAGGGCGCAGTAGGGCAATGCAATCATCAGGAAAGGGGAGATGACCCCCTTGTGCCCCTTCCTCCCCAACACCTCAGGGCAGCTGTTTCCCTCTCCCTCCATGAGGTGACAGGCCGCGGGGCAGGGAACAGGGAGACCCAGACCCAGGGGCTGAGGGACTTTGCACCCACAGATGGGTTGGGGGGGCAGACCGCCGGGTTGGGAGCTGGGTGTTGGTCCCTCACCCCCAGGCCAGGCAGCTGGGCCCCAGGGCTGTGAGGTGCCAGGGACCAGCGGGGCTGGGTGCGGGGGGTGGAATCTAGACAGTGCTGGGGCAGTTGGGGGCAGCGGGTCCTGAGGGGAGCTGTGGGGGAAGATAATATGGCCCTGAGCCATCTCAGTCAGGCCCCGGCTCTGCCCTTCCCCTCCAGGGACCCTGCAGCTGCCAGGTCCCCTTCTCCGGGGAGGAAGAGCAGTGACAGCTCAGTGCCATGGCGGTTGTCTTGCTGTGCAGGTGGGTAATGAGGGCAACGAGGAGGGGAACTGCAGCTGCCCCTTCATCCCTGCTCTGAGCTTGCATGGTGGGTCCTGATGGCAGAGGGGTTCCAGCTTGTCACCCTGCAGAGGCTGAACGATCCCAGGCCTGCAGAAACAAGGGTGCACAGGGGGAAGCAATCCCCAGTGCAGCTTTGGCCCCCTTTTGGAGGGGGCACTTGGCAAAGGGGATGTGAGGGGGGAAATGGGGAGAAATAGGGTAAAACCTGCAGAAAATTTACTTTGGGGCTTGGGAACTGGGGACACACGGAGGAGAATTTATCCTGCTATTTGGTGGCTGGTGAGGAAGAGGGCTAGATCTGGGCGGAGGGATGATTCCCACCGTGTGCCTGTCAGGGAGTTGCTCATGGAGAGGGATTGGCTGTGTCAGTCTGAAGTCAGACAGAAGGCAGGGTAGACAGGTCCCCTTTGGTAGACTTTGAAGGCAGAGACAAACTTCAGCCAAAGCAGAAAACTAAGAATCGTGCAATTAGTAAACCAGCTTTTTTTGATGTGAATACTTCCAATCCTCTTCTTCTTCTTCCCTTAACACCAGAGGATCTAGGACAGGGGCAGGCAATTATTTTGGGCAGAGGGCTGCTTACTGAGTTTTGGCAAGCCATCAAGGACCACGTGACAGGCAGCCCAGGGCAGATAAATATTAATTTTATAATTTTTTTAGGGCCGGCTAGAATGGCCTGGCAGGCTGCATTTTGCCAACCCCTGGTCCAGGAGGACAGGAGGGAAAATGATATTATTCTTGATGAAAAAAAAATGTGAATGACTTCCACATGCACAAGAAATGAAAAACTTAACAGAAAAGTTCAAAGGTAAAGACTATCAATAATAGAGGTTTCCAAAAAGTTCAAAGCAGCTATGTGTGACTCTATATGTGCGTGCAGGCACACATGCATACTTTTTCTCTCCACTTTCTTTTTTTCCCCTTCATGTGACCACTAGAAGAGAGAAAACCACTGCTAGCCACAGACTTTTAAACTACACCTTGTTGCAATCAAATCACTTCTTTTTGTTTGAATTGTATTGTATCAGCTGTAGATGACAGACAATTGAACAGGAAACTGAGCCACAGGATTCATTCGAATAAAGCTGATGCAGTGTCTCAGGA